ATCCGCTCAATCACTCACACTCTCGCTCACCCACTCACCACTGCAGGTCACAACACTTCTCTTTATGAATCTTCCCTCACACTACTCCAATTCAGAATTGCCCTCCCATTATCGTCTCTTTTCCCTAAGTTCTTAAAATAAATCTGCTTAATTCTAAAAACGCGTTAACCCTTAATCTATTACCAACGTGACAGTGCTCTAGGTTGCCAGCCTTTGGGCCTGTGCTCAGAAACTGTTCAAAAATATAACTGGGTGGTCTCCTGCACATCCACTCTGAGACAACGGCCGCTGGCTGCTCCGAAACAATGCCCTCGAACAGATACCGGGTGCAGCAGCAGCAGCGGCGGCGGCGCCGGCTTGCGTTGCACCCATTGCCCCATGGGGCATGCTTATTGCTCTCCGTAGCATCTGTGAGTCGATCATCAGGGCACTCTGCCTCCTGGAGCAATCACTTTGCTGTGGTAACAGCAGCAGCTCTCAAATTACTTAAACCTCTCAATGATGACAGTTACTGATTAAGAGGAAGCATAACTGTGCCGAATGAAAGTGACACAATAATAATGACAACCAAACGTCTAAATCTTGACTTAAAGCTTTCGTGACTGCAGGAATTAATATTCTTAGGGTCTTCTGGTAAAGTCACGTAGATAGGTTCAAAGAAAATAACAAAAAACTACGACGTTTCGATCGCAACACAAGCGGTCGTCATCAGGAAGAAAAAAAACCGTCGTAGTTTTTTGTTATTTTCTTTGAACTTATCTACGAGACTCTACCGAAAGACCCAAAGAATATAACCAAACGTCTCATTCAAATTTGTCCTCCACAGGAAAAACTATATTTTTTTCAACATCCAATCAGGAGTGCATAATTCAGCAGCATTAGTTCAACACAAGCAATCTCAACAGTTAATTAATTCTGTTTTTCTGTTGTCATGAGTATGTCATATTGCTTCTTGTCTTAGAGCCAAAGCCTTCAAACACCTATAGGTAAAACGTAAAATGATATGCAGTTAGTTAAACAGAAATGGCCAACTGTGTAAACAAGGCTTAATGGGCCTTTACTTTCAATGTGTGTGGCAGACATTGGTAAAACGCTCTAGTAAACACACCACCACCACCACCACGTTCCTCTACTGTTTAACCCAGCCTGGGCTATACACTACTTTAGGATCTCATTTATCAAAGCTTTTGATACTAGTTAAAATCCTAGGCTGAGGATTGACTTGGCCCATCATCCTCCAGGGTCTATAAAATGATTACTACTTTGTGAGGAAGTCAACAGTGGTTGTCCTATGGATCGACTCAGCCACATCAGAGGAATATGGAATTTCCACTACTGGCGCAGGGCTGTGAAGAGGAAATAAGCACCGCCTCAATGCTCATTGGAGCAGTAAATCACTGACTTTCTGACATTGAATGAAAAATGAAGGCATCATTGCCGGAGGCATGACGCCAACTTTGTTATTTCATTGAACCACTGGTGCCTATTTTAACTCAACCACGGGCCCTCATTCAGGCCTCCCAGGGACCTCAGAAGCTCTGGACAAACCAGGAGCTGCTCTTGGTCACACTCGCATGACCCGATGGATGTCACATCATGGAAAGGGGAAAGAAACAGCCACATATCCATTAACCAATTTGTGCGCTAATCGCCTCAATATGGATAATCAGTGGCAACTGTTTGATTTTCACAAATCCAAGATATCCAAGCTCTCCCTGTTCTAAATGCGGCAGAAGCAGTGTGCTTTTGTATTGTTTCAATATGAATGGAAACATAGCATCCTCACAGCATTCCTTCCCGTCCCAAAGCGCTGCTCTGCTTTGTAATGCCAGATTCACAAATAGACAATCATAAGAATGGTGTTTCTATTTCTTTTGTTCGTGCAGAACACTTGCCGAAGGCTGCGTTCTGTAATTACGGAGACAAATCTACAGAGGTGACCCCCACACCTCTCGCCTATGTTTAAAATCACTAACATTTCTGAGAATAAGGGAAAGTGTATGTTCAGTGGCATTCATGGTGAATTCGAAAACAAAGGTCCATCTGCCAGTGAGTGTGTGTGCTATAATATACCATTGCACTGGACTTCCCAATTATTAGCATGTGATGTAGCTAAGAGTTCATTAATTTCTCCAAACACATCACTGCTCCCTCACACACCACTGCCCCCTCACACTCCACTATCCCCTCACACACCACTGCCCCCTCACACACCACTGCCCCCTCACACACCACTGGCCCTCACACACCACTATCCCCTCACACACCACTGTCCCCTCACACACCACTGCCCCCTCACACACCACTGCCCCCTCACACACCACTTTCCCCTCACACACCACTGTCCCCTCACACACCACTATCCCCTCACACACCACTGCCCCCTCACACACCACTGCCCCCTCACACACCACTGGCCCTCACACACCACTATCCCCTCACACACCACTGTCCCCTCACACACCACTGCCCCTCACCACCACTGTCCCCTCACACACCACTATCCCCTCACACACCACTGTCCCCTCACACACCACTATCCCCTCACACACCACTGTCCCCTCACACACCACTGCTCCCTCGCACACCACTGCCACCTCACACACCACTGCCCCTCACCACCACTGCCCCTCACACACCACAGCCCTCTCACAACACCACTGCCCCCTCACACACCACTGTCCCCTCACACACCACTGTCCCTCACCACCACTGCCCCCTCACACACCACTGCCCCTCACCACCACTGCTCCCTTACCACCACAGCCCCCTGACCACCACTGCCCCTCACCACCACTATCCCCTCACACACCACTGTCCCCTCACACACCAAGGAGGATGGTGTTGCTGTCAAAGGATGTTCATTTCAAGTGAGCACACACACATCCACACACATCACGTCACACTCACAAAAACTCTGCATACCCATAAGGCATCGGACACTTCACCATACTGGCAGACTCACGGATTTAACATCACCAGTGTGACCCACTAAGGCAGATGAGGGAGAGTTGAGTACAGTATGCATGTTTGCACGCTAACAAGGTAGATGTGCATATGATCACTCTGCTATTGCTACGACCGTGGTTATCGCTCATTTCCCTAAACTTCACCTAAGACACTGCCCGTTTTGTCTCAACCACAATGTTCTTTCCTCGCAATGCTCCACTTTCGAATTCCCTACCACCGTCTCTTTTTTCAAGCTCTCATAATATCCTTGCTCGCTTAAGTAAATGTGTGAACCCGATCAATTACAGCTCTGAGAGTGCAGTTTATTACTGGCCACTTTACATATTGGGCCAGTGCTCAGGCATCTGTGTTGAATATTTCTTGCATAAGGCGGTGTGAAATTCCAACAACAACATATACATCACCACATGTTCCAGACAATGGGATGTCAAAGAAGCCTGAGGATTCCTAGAAAACTATAAACAAAACAAAAACTCATTACGGTCATAAATTACACTCTGGCTCTAACAGGAAAAAATATATATTAGGCGACATTCCAGGCAATGGTCCTTCATAGCAAAAACTAAAAAAGGAAAATTGTACAAAACATAGCTTATTAAAATTGTTTCCCTATGAATATCACAAAGCTTATTGACCAACCTGTTGAGTTGTTTATTGGGCTGTGCACCACTGCCAACATAAACGTCCTTTAATTGAGGCAATACAGAGATAGGCACACGCGCGTTGCTGTGTGAAGGCTGCATCAACAATACTCGCGATTGGCCCACAACGCATTAAGCAGCGACCAAGCCGCATCTGGCATCTCTCTGGGAGGAACGGTTAAATGAGTGGGAGAGCCACGCGGGGCAGGGAAAAAATAGACCGGGCACAAGCCCCGGGGGAGAGCGGCGCCGTACCTGAGCTGGCGACAGGGCACGCTTTGTCGTGCCCGCCGCGTCTCTCATGTCATGCGTGTCTCCCATTTCCTGCGTGCTGTGCCAGTTGCGTCCCACGTGTCTGCGTGTCGTGCGCCGCTCCGAGCGCGTCTGTGCCGTGTGCGAGCGTGTCACATGCCACACGCTGAGCCGCCTCCTGCATGTCTAGCGTATCTGCGTGAGCGTGCACATGTCGGTTCGAGTGTGTGTCTGCGTGAGTTTGTGCGTGTCTCTTAGGTGAAGCGGAAGCGCAGTGGTTTTCCCACTTCACTACAAACCCAGTCATCTAGGTTTGGTTCTGGACCAAACCTAGATCAACTCAGCCATAAAAGAGTACTTGTTGCAATGTGTGAACATCACTACGAGGGAGACAAAAGCAACCAGGAATGGTACTGGGCACACCACTCCCTCGTGTGTCATGCAACGTTAATAGGTACTCAAAAACAGCAACTTCATTTGTGGATTCCTCCACCCACGTTGAGGACTCGGTCTACCACTATTTCATTTCACTCTATATTCTGCAGGTCACCTCACTTCTCTTTCTGCTCCTTCCCTCAATCACCAAAACATTGAGTTATCTCCCACCGTTTCTTATCCCCAAGCTCTTAAAGTAAATAACCTTGCAGAATTCAAGAAAGGTGTGGAATGTATTGCTGGCCGCTTGACGTTATGGGCCTTTGGGCCTGTTTTCAACAAGTGAGCTATACAATTAAGTATAAATCGTCGCCGTTGACCGGGGGTCCAAGTGTGCGTGTCTCACCCTATGCGGGGCACATGTCGCGCTTGTCACGGTGGAGGTCAGAAGGGGCGGTGAGCGGAGCTGGGAGTGAGCGGTAGTTGCGAGGGAGCAGTAGTTGGGACGAAACGGTAGTTGGGAGCTCACGTGATGCACAGCGTGGTTAATGCCAGTCTGTGCTACAAGGGACCGGCAGTTACAACAACATCGCCAGGAGGGTTGTACCCTTGGTGGAAGTGGTGTTTTGGATTGAAAATGGAGACACGGTCGCCGACAGTCCCCACGATACTTCCCTCTCCCCACACTCTCCCCCCACACTGTCCCCTCTCCCCACACTCTCCGCACAATTTCCCCTCATGCCCCACACATCCCACACGCACCGGATCATCTGGGGAGAGGGGGACGTCGTGGTGGCGCGAGACCAGCAGGTCGACGGAGCCGCCAAGCTTAGTGCTGCGCAGAATCGCCACAACTTCCTCCTGCGTGCGACTCGTCACGTCCAGCCCGTTCACCTGCCCCACGCACGCGGGGAGATACCGTCTCACTTCACACACACTTGCTCACCATTGCCTTTCTCGTACATCTGACAAAAAACAGCGGAGGAGCCAGACCGTACACATGCTCGCTGTTTGTTGGACTAAGCCCACTGAGGCGGTGATCATCTCCCGTTTACAGTCCTGAGCCAGTGATGGATATTCCACATTCCTATGGTAGGAGAGAATCCTTTATTTTCTTTATGATTCATTTTAATATTACAAATGTAAATTCCCTTTCATTAGGGTGTCCATTGACAAATAGATGAAGATTTAAAATCTATAACCTATACATTTCTCCAAGGATAACACCTGTTGAATTCCCACAGAGCAGTCGTGCTTTTTTAACCAAGTGTCGCAGCGATTTGACATTTTCACAACTGTCTGTGTCTCTAAATCAGGACAATCACGTTTCATGGTGACATGAGGCATTGACGCGACCCGGCGATAGCGCGCGTGCCGCTTGTCATAGAGGTTCGCGGTTCGTTTCCAGTGTCACGATCAAAATTTGCCAAATTTGTTAATGACACTGCAAACTACTCAATTGGGATGACACGGAAGAACGTTGCTCTCTACTGGGGGACTATATCCACCTGTATGCACAGCGTGCTCGTGACAGCTTAATAACGATGGAAACACCATATGTTCAAAATTAGAATTGTTATTACAAATACATTAAAAGCAAACACACAGTTGATAGGTAAATAGAAAACAGAGAGTAGAATCTCATGACAAAAATATAAATGTCATTCATTGTCCGCAACTTTATTAATTACAAAAGCCCAATAAAGAGTCACAGCGTGCCCCATTATTACGACACCGTTATTTTATTTCTTTAAACATATAAACAGTCAACTCTGACTGAAAGCACAGATTCAGCAGAGGAAATCCTGTAATCTGAAGTGGCACGTGCGACGCACAGCGATGAGTCAGCGCAGGACATCCCGGAGCCCAGAAAGGTTCGTGCGACAGCGCTGATTTACACAGGATGTCCGCGCAGCGCATGGAGGAAGCATCTGTGTGGCCAACTCAGAAAAAAAAGCCGACTAGCCTGGAGACAAAGGCATCAATTAATCCTCCGCAGGCTGTTTCTACCAGCAAACTGTTAAATCTCATCCACTCTGTGTTCAACCACCACACTAGGGCACAGCAACACACTAACTCACTCACCCAAATCACTCACCACACCGCAGGTTACAACATTTCTTTTTCTGCATCTTCCCTCACACTGCTCCACTTTGGAATTCCCTGCGATTATCATATATTTTTCCAAAGCTCTTATAATAACCTTGCTGAATTCAAGAAATGTTTCACACCCTTGTCTATTATTTTTGTAGTGCTTTTTGTTGCGGGCCACTTGACGTTTTGGGCCTATAAGCCTGTACTCAGCAACTGTGTTATTATAATTATCCTCAACCCCTCCCGCAGCAGGAGCCATCTCACATTGACATGCTAATCTCTAATCTCTAGCAATACAATGGCTTCTTCAGCACCGCAGTCGTGGGGGTTACATTAACAGGTTGACATGCTAATCTCCAGCAATACAATGGCGAGGTATATTACTGTAAATTCCATCTCTAGCCCCGCCCACTTACCCTTGGGTTGTACCCATCTCAAACCTTTATAACCTCTTGCTGCAGTAGTTCTCTCGCTATATTTCTCCTGCCTCAGCAGTTTGCCTGCTGTATTTTTTCACCTGAAGACGATTGCTTGTGTTGCGATCGAAACGTCGTCATTTTTTATTGTTTTTCTATCTACGTGACTTTACCGAAAGACCCAAAGAGTATGAACCAATATATGTAGTGTGTTTTAAGTTGAATGTTATTTATTAGTTGAACACGTATTTATTATTAAAATTATTTACCCAGGAAAGCCTCACTAAGTATCAAGAGTCTGTGCACAATGTCAATAATTTTAATAATTTGCCAACAGCAGTGACATGGTATGAATTTTAGCTACAGCAGGAATCTAGAGAACTTGGAGGAAACTCATACAGAACAGGGGAAGAACATACACAATCCACACAGAAAGGCAGACAGGTCGAAAATCGAACCCAGGCACTTGTTGCTGTGAGGCAGGAGGGTCGCCCCTGTGCTGCCGCCACCCTGTAGCACACTGAACAGGACAGCATGAGTTTCTCTCCAACGAGTGCTGTTTTTCTCAGGAGAACAAGCCTGGGAGCCCTCACCTCCAGGAGCCGATCTCCAGACTTGAGGCGGCCGTCACTCAGTGCCGCGCCCTTGGACATGATGCTCTTCACGTAGATCGGCGTGCGGCCTCCCACCGGCGTGTCGCGTGTCGCGATCGTGAAGCCTAGCCCGTCGAGACCTGCACCAGGCCGCGATCACCCTCGTTACAAATGGCCATGTCGTAGCAATGGATGCACGGGCATCTTGAAGCGCGGGCAGATTAAAAATGGGACCGCTGCGTTTAAATGCCCCCACCGCCGTACTTCACTCGACCGCTGTCGTTTTACTCCAACAGTAACTCTGCTCAATGGCCTCAAAAATGCAACAGTGTCACTGTCCCTGGAGGAAAAACCCGAGCAGGCAAAACTCTCGCTCAGACACGGATGGAGCTGCATCAATGTGGAACGATCTCACGGACACTCAAATATACGCCGCTAGTCTCAACTTATTTGAATATTTAATCAAAACATGCTTGCACAACATCTTCCTGTGCACGATTGCACAACATGGTGGCGTGATGTTAACTACCTCGCCTGGTATACAGTAGGTCGTGGGTTTGATCCAGACCCTGACGCCTGCACATTTGGAGTTTGCATGTTCTCCCCATGGTCGCGTGGATTTTTCTCCAGGCCCTCCAGTTTTTCCCTCCACATTTAGAAATATGCGTTTAGAGTGTTTGGCTGCTGCTATACATTTCCACGTGATAAGCCACTTTGTTGAGCAATCATGTGTGGCCAAGTCGCTTCTGAAAAAGAGCTATATTGCTCAGTGGGCCTTACCTGGTAAAATAAAAATAGTTGTATAGTTTTTTTGATTTAAAGCTTACGTGACTGCAGGGATTCATATTCTTGGTTCTTTCGGTAAAGTGAAGTAGAAGGGAAACAATAAAATAATAAAAATATAAAACAATAAAATTCTCACGACGTTTCGACTGCAACACAAGCAATCATCATCAGGTGTGAAAATCACAGCAAGAAAATCTGAAAAAAGTGGCGTTTTTTTAACGTTAGCACCACGGAGAGCGATTTGGCAGTTATTCAGATGGACGAGTTCATCTATTTAAATTTTGATTTAAAGCTTTCGTGACTGCAGTAATTCATATTCTTAGTTTTTTCGGTAAAGTCACGTTGAAGAGAAACAACAAAATAATATAATATATATAAAACAATAAAAATTCTCACGACGTTTCGACCATAACTCAAACGGTCATCTTCAGGTGTGTTGATTTGCATAAATTTATTTTTAAACGGCGCATTTATTTATTTATAAAAAACGTTAGCGTCACGCGCAGCAATTTGGCAGTTTGCCCAGGACTAGTCCATCTATATTTTGAAAAGAGGAAGGGGGAGACGAAATTTTTTATAATGTATGCTGTCTGAAAGCCACTGTAAGCGTGAACAATCAATTAAGAACTGAAATGGTTTATCAAATCTTTCCAATGATTGCTAAGCCTGAATCCATCTTCTCGGTTTAAATTGTCTCTGTGTTTGTATATGTGGATAGCCTCATGAACGAATCTCTCATGGTAGCCAGATGGCTTGCAAAGAACCTCTGTCTTGGAGAAGGGGTGTATCTACTTTATGCATTTTTGGTAAGCCGTATAATCTTGGTGGCCTGGCAGCAGAAGGTTTATAACAACAAAATTCAAGAATTACTCAACGATGGCAGCTATACAAAAATAAAAAGAGATCCCACCAACAGCCTCATCATACAAACCAACAAAATCATTTCTGATTCAACCGCATTAATTGATCAAACCAAACAATTCTCGTTGAAACCTTGTGCTGCCAGGCCACCAAGATTATACGGCTTAGCAAAAATACATAAAGTAGATACACCCCTTTGTCCCATCGTCTCTACTATCAACTCCCCCACCTACAAACTGGCTCGTTTTCTGTCTGAAATCCTGCAGCATTTCACTGGAAAAAACACCTCTGCAGTATAAAATTATACTCACCTGATATCGACAATCACGGGTATTTCCCTGTCCCCAGACGACCTGCTTGTCAGTTTTGATGTAGTTTCCTTATTCACCAAAGTTCCTGTACCTGACACCATCGCAATCATTGAAGACTTGGTTCATCAAGGTACCCCCCCTGGTGAGACACTGCTTAACCAATACATACTTCACTTGGAATGGAACTTTCTACAAACTGAGGGCACCCCAATGAGCTCCCCCCCTATCTCCGGTGTAGCCAACATTTTCACGGAAAAATTTGAGACTGACGCCATCCAGACTGCCACTGCGCCCAACCTTATGGAAGAGGTACGTGGATGACACTTTTGTCATCTGGCCACATGGCCGGCCTGCTCTAGACCAATTCTTCGACCACATCAATTCCATACACCCAGCCATCAGATTTACTATGGAAGTCGAAAAAGATGGCAAGCTACCTTTTTTGGATGTCCTAATAAAAAGAGACCTGATGGTTCAATGAGCCACTCTGTCTACAAGAAAGCTACCCATACGGATGCTTATCTGAAACCGGATTCCCACCACCATCCATCCCAGAAGAATTCCCTCATCAAGACTCTGCACCATAGAGCCCAATGCATATCCGACCAGGAACACATAGCCAGTGAACTCAAGCACGTACACCAAGCTCTTAAGGCTAATGGTTACTCCGACTACACAATCTGCAAAGCTATCACTCCAACCATGAAGAAGGACCCTCTTGGGGAGCCTTTCAAAACCATCACTTTACCCTACATTGCGAGGATCACAAAAAAGATCTCCAAAATCTTGAATAAACACAAGATCCAGGTCCGATTCAACACATTACATAAAATCCGTGATCTGGTTCCGTCTTTAAAAGATGTGATTCCGGACATACAGTACCCTGGCGTCTACAAACTAAGTTGCCTCTGTGGTAGCAGTTACATTGGAGAAACCAAACGACATGTCTTGGACCGCATTCGTGAACACAGGGCAGACCTACAACACGGTAGGACCAACACCTCGGCCGTGGCAGATCACTGTTATAATTCAGTAGGCTCACATGACATTGACTTCTCCAAGACAGAGGTTCTTTACAAGCCATCTGGCTACCATGAGAGATTTGTTCATGAGGCTATCCACATATACAAACACAGAGACAATTTCAACCGAGATGATGGATTCTGGCTTAGCAATCATTGGAAGGATTTGATAAACCATTTCGGGTCTTAATTGATTGTTCACGCTTACGGTGGCTTTCAGACCGCATCCATTATTTTCGTCTCCCCCCTCCTCTTTTCCGAACATAGATGAACTCGTCCATCTGAATAACTGCCAAATCGCTCTCCGTGGTGCTAATTTTAAAAAACTGCCACTTTTTAAAAAAATTATTGCTGTGGTTTTCACACCTGATGATGATTGCTTGTGTTGCAGTCGAAACGTCGTTAGAATTTTATTGTTTTATATTTTTCTTATTTTATTGCTTCCCTTCTACGTGACTTTACCGAAAGAAGCAAGAATATAGTTGTATAGTTGTTGCTAGTTGATTTACACTGAGAGCACATTACGTATGAACCGGAGGTGTACACTGTTTAATTGTTATGCATTTGTGTGTTTGACTAAACGTGATGTTCGGTACATAAATGCAAACTGTATAAGCTGTAGAGTAGTATCATGTGGTTGCTCTGTATGTGTCGATTGAAACCATGGACACCTTCACAAACAAGATGTTCCATTTCAATGGTGAAATATTTTAGTCTCGATTTAAAAAGTAGCGCTAAATCTACCAATGGGTTCAGGAGAACCACAACAGGCAATCTGAAGACGCCTGAAACGGCCAGAGAGAGGGCACGTGACCAGGAGAGGGCACGTGACCAGGAGAGGGTAACGAGGGGGGCCAAGGGGTGGCGAGAGGGACACGTGACATAAGGCCCAGAACCTTCTAGTAGGATCTAGAAGGGGGCATGGCCTAGGGCGAAGCTAGGCCACGCTTAGGGGCATAAAAGGGAAGTCCCAAGTGCCGATCCAGGCTGTGTTCTGGAATCAACCCGCCGTGCTACGTCTCCTCGATCTTCGGTATTCGGTCGTCATGCTCGGCATCGTGGGTCAAGCAGGACGTTACTGACCGGACCCGGTTATATAATCGCCCGTTGTGGTTTAGTCACTCGTGAAAGTTAGCTACCACCTATGTCGTTTTCCCGTACGTTTATGTAGTTACCCTGTCGGGGTGTTGTAATAAACGTGTTGCCTCCAAGTTCCAGTGTGTGTCTCCATGGAAGCCACTACACTAGTAAAGCACACCAGTGTGTTGGAGAGCCAAGCCACAACATTTGAAATCTGAGTACGACGTTTCGCCAGTAATTACAACTAGCTTCATCAGGCGACAACCATAATTTCCCACCCCAACCGTTTGGAAAGAACCATCTGAGGACTCAATCAAAACCATCACCTTGCCATACATAGCAGGGGTCGATTTGTTGCTTTCGTGACTGCAGGAATTATTCTTTGGTTATTTCGGTAAAGTCACGTATAAATAGAAAATAATAAATTACATAATAACATACGACGTTTCGATTGCAAAGCAAGCAATCATCATCAGGTACAAATGAAAGAGAAACACCCCAAGTAAACTTAGAAATATAATGCAACACAGCGCAGAAAGTCGGCTGACACAACAGTCAACACCCTACCTAGTTGATCACGTCCAAGAGAGAGACAAGACACAGAACCGGAGACACAAACACAGTCACAAAAGCGGAAAGAATTAACACAGAGACACAGAGAGAGAGACACACGCATGGGCACACAGAGAAACAACGTCTCTGTATTGAGGCCTTAAATAGTTAGAGAGGGGGTACAGAGAGAGAGGGGGGGTTAGAAGAATTAGTATGTCAATGGGAGATCCCACAATGAGAGAACTCCACCACCAACGCTGCAACAACCGAGGGGAGACAAAGATGAAGGCAACACTAAATCAAACTAACTTAGTAAAATTTTGGAAATGTAATGTAATGCGACACAGAGTCGGTCAACACACAATTAACACATGGTCTGGTCGATTACGCCACTCCAAAGATTGCTCAATTAGAAGTTAAGTGTGAGTAAACTTAGAAATATAATGCAACACAGCGCAGAAAGTCTCTCTCTTGGACGTACACAACCAGGTAGGGTGTTGACTGTTGTGTCAGCCGACTTTCTGCGCTGTGTTGCATTATATTTCTAAGTTTACTTGGGGTGTTTCTCTTTCATTTGTACCTGATGATGATTGCTTGCTTTGCAATCGAAACGTCGTATGTTATTATGTAATTTATTATTTTCTATTTATACGTGACTTTACCGAAAGAACCAAAGAATAATTCCTGCAGTCACGAAAGCACCAAATCGAGTTTGAAACACCTCTACGGGGAGGTTTTAAGTTTGTGTTTTCTCCTCTCTCTCTGTCTCGTTGTTGTCTCTCTGTGCTTGTTTGTCTGTCTTTGTGTCTCCATGTCTGTACCTTGTCTCTCTCTCAAATTTATCTGTCTCGTTGTTGTCTCTTTCTGCTTGTGTGTCTGTCTTTGTCTCCATGTCTGTGCCTTGTCCATCTCCCAAATTTCACACTTAACTTCTAATTGAGCAATCTTTGGAGTGGCGTAATCGACCAGACCATGTGTTAATTGTGTGTTGACCGACTCTGTGTCGCATTACATTACATTTCCAAATTTTACTAAGTTAGTTTGATTTAGTGTTGCCTTCTTCTCTGTCTCCCCTCGGTTGTTGCAGCGTTGGCGGTGGAGTTCTCTCATTGTGGGATCTCCCATTGACATGCTAAATCTTCTAACCCCCCCCCCCCTCTCTCTCTGTACCCCCTCTCTAACTATTTAAGGCCTCGACACAGAGACGCTGTTTCTCTGTGTGCCCATGCGTGTGTCTCTCTCTCTGTGTCTCTGTGTTAATTCTTTCCGCTTGTGTGTCTGTGTTTGTGTCTCCGGTTCTGTGTCTTGTCTCTCTCTTGGACGTAATCGACCAGGTAGGGTGTTGACTGTTGTGTCAGCCGACTTTCTGCGCTGTTGCATTATATTTCTAAGTTTACTTGGGGTGTTTCTCTTTCATTTGTACCTGATGATGATTGCTTGCTTTGCAATCGAAACGTCGTATGTTATTATGTAATTTATTATTTTCTATTTATACGTGACTTTAATGAAAGAACCAAAGAATAGCAGGGGTCACCAAAAATATCTCCCAAATCATGAGCAAACACAAGATCCAGGTACGATTCAACACAGTACATAAAATGTGTGATGTGATCCCTTCTGTGAAGGATGTGATCCCTGACATACAACACCCCGGTGTCTACAAACCAAGCTGCGTCTGCGGCAGCAGCTACATTGGGGAAACTAAACAACATGTCTCGAATCGGGTTCGTGAACATAAGGTAGATCTGAAACATGGTAGGACCAACACATCAGCCGTGGCTGATCATTGTTTTAACGCTGTGGGCATACACGAAATAGATTTTGCCAAAACGAAGGTACTCTGCAAACCCACTGGCAATCAGCAAAGGTTCGTTCATGAAGCCATCCAGAAATATAAACACAGACACAATTTCACCCGAGAAGATGGGTACAAACTGAGCAATCATTGGAAGGACGTTATTAACCAGTTTAGGTCATAACTGGCTGCGTTGTTCCCTTCCTACCTACCTATGTTAGCAGTTATTTTCGACTCTCTGAGTTACATTCACTAACACAGTCACCGTTAGCTGTGTTAGTAAATGGCGGCTTGCCATCCTTTTACACCTCCATATGGCGATGGCTCTTTAACGAGCTCTCTCCGAGCTTACATTTACAAGCAAATCTCTTACATTAAAATGCTAATCTCTCACAATACAATGGCCACCCCCCACAGCTTCATTTGTCAAGATTTCTACAATATTACATTTACATGCAAATTTCATCTTTAGCCCCACCCACTGACCCTTGGGCTACACCCATCTCAAACCTTTATAACTCCCTGCCTTAGCAGCGCTTCCACCATATATTTTTTCCTGCCTCAGCAGCTCTCCCGCCATATTGTTCACCTGATGACGATTGCTTGTGTTGCGATCAAAACGTCGTGATATTGTTATTATTTGTATTATTTTTATTATTTTTCTATCCACATAGCTTTACCGAAAGACCCAAATAATATGAATTCCTGCAGTCACGAAAGCTTTAAGTCTATTTTCATTGCTTATTAATGCTCATGCAAACTAACATTGTAATAGATCATGTGCCCAAAAATGTCTCCTGACAATAATGTATAATTCCACTTTGGAAACAAAATCACTTTTGACAAACTAATTATAATACATTACATCGATGCTCTACAGTGGCCGCTCTGAGGCATGAGGGCTCATTAGGCAAGTCAGCGGATATCAACCAGCCTCAGGCTCTCACACAATCAGCGGAAGCTGGGCAACACATTCTGGGATTCTGGGCTGAGCTTCATCAGCTCTTGCAAGATCCACTCCTGGCTCTCAAGCCTCCATCTTGGTGGCCGAGTGAGCAAATGGAGACATCTGCAGTATATGAACTAATGTGTTCATATACTGTGTACTGTAAATATACGTGGCCGTGTGCACCCAGTGGGTGAGCGTGTCAGGGCACGAGTTTAGCAGCATCGAGGAGATGGCTAGACTTGTCAGGAAAGCAATATGCTTGAAACAGCATTTGAGATGTAAATTAGACTGATAAGTGGGGCACAATCATGAGATGATTTGCTCATAGGAATGAATATCACTCGGAGATGAATAACAGGAGCAGTTTGTAACTAGCACTGCCCTGACCGTGAACTGCTCGTGACATCACTGTGTGCACCACCACAACTTGCACCCACACCATACCAGGAGGCCCTCACCTTTCTTCAGGTGAATAGGAATCTTCTTATCCACCTTCTTTGTGGTATAGGCGACGTTGGGCGTGGCCGCAGGGGCAGCCATGCTGGAGCTGGCCGTGGGGATGCGACTCGCAACGGCGGCAGATACAGCCGCTGCCACTGCTGCCGTCGCCTGCTGTAGCTTTACGTCGGCCTTCACTGGGGCTTTCGTGGGAGACGCCAGCTGTGCTGACGTAGTGTCACCACCGAACGTTGACCCTGTCGCGGACCTAGGGCCTGGGATTTTCCTGGGCACCTGTGCTGGTGGCTTGTGCTGCTGGGTCTCAGCTGGGATTGGCTGAGCAGAGGAAGCCGTTCCAGAATTCGCGTCTGTCGCCGCCAGGAAAGCTGCCGGTATCTGGGGTGACGTGATTGCAAGGCCGAGACAGGCATCACTACAGAAAGGCATTATTACACTTGTTTAGCCAGGAAAACCTCACAGTTTCAACTCATTTTCAGGAGGGTCCTGCAAAATTTTCACAGGAGGCAACAATCACTATGATTACGAATTGAGTGATTTGCGGGGTAAATTTTCAAACTTGGACCATGATGCCAGCAACACAATGCCTTACTCTTCTTCAAATGACATCAGAGGATCTTTAAAATCTACTCTTAGCACATGGTGTGTATTTTATCATTCATAAACCAGCAGTATAAACCAGGACGGCTACTGGGCTTGAACTGTGAACCCCTGCAACAAGTGGCTAACACGTGATCGCTGGCCACATCACTGCCCTTTAGAAAGGGTTTCAACTATTTTCTTCATAAAATGAGTGGGCATGGTATTCAGTTGGATAGGCACGTATGCAAACTACATGGAGGTCAAATTCCTATGATATTTTAATTTGTGAGTACATTGTCCCAAAGGGTATTCAAAGATTAACACAACATTGCATGTTACTGATGCTAAAGTAAACATTTTGTAATACTGTCAAGTCAAACCGGCCAGGTGAGTAGCAGTAAAGCAGAGGTATGAAAGCGTGTTCATATACTGTATGCAGAAACGTGTGTATTCTTGTCTTTGACCCCACAGCATGACCTTTGACCAGTTATAAATAACCTACAGAAGCACCCAAATAGATGATTACGACCTGATATAAAATAAAAAATAAAATAAATACCAACATTATTTTAAATGAAAAAGATTACATTTCAACATTAAAAGAGGTTGACAGAACCAGTGGAAACTTAATGAATAACCCGTCATGGCATAATCCTTTACGAGTCAAGTAGGAGGCACCGTGCGGGCAAACATCCTAATGGGAGGCCTAATTGGCACAGCTATGAGCTACTTGACACCTACATGGCAAAGAGGTTGTTAAGCTCCATGTGACGGGGCAGTCTCACCGGCATCCTCCGCGCAGGTGCAATGAGAAGAGACTTGGGGGTGACCTTGGCACTGGCACCGGCACCTGAAGGCGGTTCCTGCTTCCTGCTGCTTAGCCCTGCCACTGGTTTCATGGTGGGTTTTGGTGCCACCGGCGGGGGCACCTTGAAGGACGGTGGGCCCTCGTCCTCATAATCTTCATCAATGTCCTCGGCCGAGTCGGAATCGATCTGCTCGGACTCCTGGTTGCCCCACAGCTGCATCACCTGCTCGTAGTGTTCTCGCTTCTCCCCGTGAACGACCCACAGTTGCAGAACGCTGCTCTTCAGGGCCTCGCGAAAAGCCTTTTGTGACCTGCACACAGAACCCCATACATGGATGTTTTATAGAATCTCTGTGGTTGCGCTTTGCCTCCTGTAGCCGTGCCACATGCGCCGACAACGGCTCCTGATGGCGACCGAAATCAAAGATGTGAAACAGAGAGGCGGACGAGGGCAGATTGGTGTGTTTTTGGAAAGCTGAACTTGATCATTAAAAACAACACAGCGATGTGCGTTAAAGAACGTTTTGAATCATCAGCCCATACACTGCCTATGACACATGGTCATTACCGAAACATATAGAAAAAAATCTGAAAAGTGCACAAAGCAATGAAGATTAATGATATCATCCAAACTACCAAGAAAAGTGAGTGGCCTTGGGCAGGATGCGTTGCGCAAGGGGATGATCGATGTTGGTCAAGGACAGCAACGGAGTGGAAGCCAAGGAATTGAATACGTCCAAGAGGACGGACACCAAGGAGGTGGAGCGATGAAGTCACTTTATGTGTGCAAGTGCCGGGTGGATTGTTGCATCGCATAACTGTAAGTGGCAGTGGTTTGGAGAGGCCTTCATCCAGCAGTAGATTTATCATGGCTGATGATTAAGTATTGCACCTCCGATTAGCTATTTGTCCGCAGTGTACAGCCGCAGGGTCTTAACGAAATTTAGAAATACGTTTTTTGAGTGGAGATATTTTTTTGGCATTAAAAGGCACCCTGAAGACTGGCTGGCTCGGCAATCCCAATTCTTTATTCAAACCCGTGCTGTCGGTTTGCGTTTCGTCATCTGGCAGCCCGGTATGCATTCTGTGCGTCCAGAAGAGCCGCACAGTATTCCTAAATGTCTCGCAGTCCCTGATGGCAGAACTGCACACGTGAACACACTAACGTGAGAATTCCCCTTTCAGCTACTCCATTTTCTGCAATATTCATAATTTTACATAACTATTTCCTTAAAACGAAATGAGAAAAATGCTCCCCGATTCTGTCATTCAAACCTCAAATAAACCCGCACTGAGACAGGGTTCACATACACCCCCAAGCTCCATACACACACTTCCTCGCAATCTGCCCAGTCAGGGACTGTTTATGCCTGATACACTACTGTACATCTCTACCGCCAAATGGGAAGGAATTTGTTTTTTTAAAGATGTAATCATACACGTTCCCAAGCACCGCACAGGTTCCAAAGTCGGAGACAGCCTTCTCCAAGGCAAATCTATTAATTAGCAGCGATCGCTAAATACAAAATTAGCACAGGTTAATTACTGAACAGACTTGAAAGATTTGAGGCTCCAGTTTTCAGCACCCACGTGGGGCACATTCAGGTATAGAAGTTGATTTCAATGCAAAGCAGCAGTCAAGTCGATTGAGGATCCAGCACTGACTGATTTACTCCAGTCACTCTCTCACCAGCACTCAGTCACCTGGATATCACTCTTCTATCGCTATTATCATAGTTTCTGTTCTCGTGACCTTCACTCGTTAATTCCCAAGTTGAGGATTTGGTACCAGACTAACTGTTACATCTCATCCACACGGCAGGACACAACAACGTAATCACTCACCTATTCACTCACTTACCCACTCACTCAATTTCGCACTCATCCACGAACTTATATTTCTCACTTATCCACTCACCCACAACACTGGAGGTCACCATCCACATTTTTCTCATCCTACTTCTTCCCTCGCACCGCTCGAATTTATAATCCCTACTATCGTCCCTTCTCCCAAGCTCTTACCAAGAAATGGGGTTAACTCTTACCTATTACAACTTTTAAAGTGCTGTTTCTTGCTGGCCACTTCACATTTTCAGCCTTTGAGTCTGTGCTCAGCAGCTATGTTTAAACACTAATTACTGTGGCGGGTACACTATCACTGTGATCTAAATGGCATCACAAGATTTGTCCATACGACAGTCAGCAATGTCAGAACTCCAGGTCCAAGGGGAAATCACATCGGGCAACTCACTCCTCAAAGGAGGTATCGGTGAGGCGTGTGTGATTGATGCGCGTGATGCAGTCGTTCTGGCGCAGAGCCCCCTCGCGCTGGGTCCTGCTGCCTTCCTCGATAGTGCGAATCCGCAGGCCCAGGCTCCTGCTCGGTTGCATGCGACACACAATGGCGTAGCAGCAGGGACTGTGACCGACACTCTTCCACAAGGCATCATATTGTCTGCTATATTTATTTTGTAAAGTGCATCATCCACAATGACAATCATTATTATTCTGTGTTGTGTCTTATATAGTTTGTATTGAACTAACACATACCTTACCTATAACATATGGCAGTTGATTAGCATTGGTTCAAGTGCGCCTGACCGCTGATGAGATACAGAATGTCAAAAACAGTCCAGTTTTGTTTGCATTGTACAAATGCCGCTGACATTATGCACCCAGGTTGTATGGCTGATGGGAGGTGTAGGAGGTCGATGTAGGAAGCAGGCTTTGTCTGCTTGTTTAATTTTGTAAAATCCTCCACGACACTCGTGATTATTTTGTATTATGCCTGTGATGATGCATCTGAACAGTACAAATCTATGATCATAAATATAAATTCCTTAATATATGGCCTCTCCACATGTTTAATTCCTATTCACAGAGTTTATTACTCTGTTGACGCAGTAATAAACTAGCACCTTTTTTCATCATGTGACAACTTTATTTATTGGCTGTGTCGGGTGGAGGAGGGTTTACGACACACATTTTACTTAAGTGATCTGATCCAAACATCTAAAATGAATCATGTTGGTTGCCAAAGCATCCACCCATTCAATCAGGGAATTGCTGCTCCTGCCAAAATCCCCCCCGAACGTCCTGCGCTTCACAACCGATGCCTCCCACTCGGTGGTTAATGGCCAGCATCATCATTGCCGACAACCTCATTTTACTACTTTGAAACTATTAGGTTATATTTTAAACGTTATATTGCTGAATTGCTTTCATTTGATCCGTATAATTTAGCCTTTTTTCTTCTTCTAAAAGTTTACTCTGTGTATCGTTGCTTGATAATTACCACACATTCTGCATTGTCTTTGTCACCTATGTCTCTCTCGAAAGAAACCATTCTAGGGTCTTGATTTATTTCAAATGAAGATTTGATGACAATTTATTTGAGTCCCATTTAGAATATCTCTCGCACGTGTGGATGCCACCCTGCAAATGCAGAGTTTGAGTGCCTAAGCATGTTCACACGCACGATATAATCAGACGAGTCCGTCCGCCCGCCCGCCCGCCCGTGCGGGCACACGCCCGCACATCGTCGCCCCTCTCCCGCGTTACCTCCCGCTCTTGGTGAGAAAGGGCACCACGTGGATGCCGAGCGGGCCCCCGTCGTTCACCACCTCCACCAGCTTCTTGAAGTCCCTGCCAATGCACGATCGCACGCGGTCTCTCAGGCACAGCGGCAATGCTCCGTTAGGACGCTCGGCCGAGGACAATGTGAATCACGCTCCCTAAAATTCTGAACTACCCTCAAACCGCGGCTAGCCGGACCCTGGCTACCCGAAATTAGCATACAGCTGGACCTGGTCAACCGATCAAAACATGTCTGTAATTGATTTAAAATAAAAAATTATTTAAAATAGAATAAAATAATTCATATCCTATACTTTATAAGTTAGGTAGTACAACGTGTATAAAAAATATATCAGTGGACCAACATTTTGTACGATATGTAAAATATGAGATGGCAGGGAAGGATAGGCGTTCAGGTATTGGCATACCCCCCACACCCACATTTCTATTGCACCACGCATACTGCAAAGTACTTTTTAAGTTTTGGTCTGTGCACGAACAAAGACAAAAAAAAGACAAATATCCCCCGTATATATTTTATTATTTTATTGTTTCCCTTCAACGTGACTTTACCGAAAGAGCTAAGAATAAGCCTCAACATACTTTTGGGGGAAATGCCTTTAGCAAGCACCTATGAAGGCTAGCACTGTACATGAGGAGGGAGTCGGCCAGCACCACGCCCGGCCACCTTTGTCTCCCTAGTGGCAATATTTACAAACACACCAAGTACTCATTTGAGGCAGAGTCGACCCAGGGGAGCCCCTGGATCGGTTCAGATAATCGTCACTGTGAGCAGGAATCGAGCTCGGGTCGCCAGTGTCACAGCGCAGCATCGTGCTAACCGTTAAACTACTAACACATTACATATACACATCGACTGTATAATGCATGTGTACATGCATTACACATCCACGTGTGTATTGCTTTTTTCACAGACATATTGTTTTTGTATAATCTGTGTACGGAACTGGATAATTTATGTGCAGCGTTGTGGGATGCAATTGCATGAATGACGCTATATAAAATTATTATATTATATTGAAATTGCAGCAAGCCGGACTTTTCAGCTGGCCAAACCAGGGCCCCCCCTTTTAGTCCAGCAAGCCGGGCTTTGCCGTATGGACTCATTGGCATTGCTCGCTCAGATTGTCCCGCCAGGGCTCACGGTGCCCCCACCTGGGATGGGGGGTGGCCGCGCGGGACGTGGGTTTGACGATCTCATCCCGTTTGTGGCCACTGCCCTCTTCCTTTTCCCCATTCTCCACGGCCTGGGAAGAAAGACAAACAGCAGAACAAAAAGGAAACCAGCCAGATGTTAAGAGCGTTGCTTCCGACAATGGAAACACTATCTACGCCGGACGTGAGGTACAAGACAGCAGCACAAACACTCGGAGATTAATGCCTTACCATCTACAGAAAGTGTCATAATTCACCAACTAGACAGTCAACCAAATAGGTACTGCACTCATCAACTCTGATTAAAAATAGAAAAACCCTTGTAGTGGGGAAAGAAACTGGTGGACTGACCGGTTAACACTCTACATCATCCATGTTGTTAAACTGTCCATTGTCTATGATAACCTGACATGAAATTGTATTCTACACACATCCCTATCTGTTTACATCCCAGTCCAATTATCACCATTAATCTTTTAGAATTTTTCCATTACTTAATTTTACTATGAAAGGTTTTCAAAAATAATTTGTTCAAGCCAACTTTTGTCCAAGGAAATTAATTTCATTTAATACTGATTTGTGTTTGTGCACCGTTTTATTTCTGGTTGGTTTTGCTCCGATTTCTATTTGCTTCATTGCTCCACATCGTTTTTTGTTATTTCTTTTGTTATTTTAGTCACCCAGGTCACTGTCGGAAATGACACTCCTATCCTGGTCTCTTGAGTTCCCACTGGGTTATTCATAACAAACTTAACACTGACTCTTCCCTTCTGCTGTAAAACTCACATCACACACAGTACTAAAGGTTTGGTGAGCCACGATCACCAACACGTGTTAGTACAAATACAGTGCACTGCCTCAAAACGGAATTTACAATGCGCTCTGTTGTCCTTCGAGGCTGTTTACAGAGCCAGACAACTTAAAACCGGTCTCCCTTAAATTCTCTATAGATTTTTCTGGGCAACAGATTAAACTTTCCAATACACATACATCACTTCCACTTGCTACATTGACCTCAAAAACGGTCCCATACTTTACAGTCAAAGCAAACCCCCAGGTTCATGGAGATTATCCTTACACATTTCAACATGTATAAGTGCCTGAGTCCAAATAAAAAAAACAATCGTTATTTAACTTGTCCAATAACTACTTTGAGCAGTCCATTTTAGGAAGGGAAGCATTAATAGCTCTACGTGATCAAACATAATCAAGGATTTAATTCAACTCTGCTCATTACACTGTTTTTACATTGCTAGACAAAGCTACAGGTGAGGTTTGACCTTTAAACATGCTCAAAAAATAGCCGAGGTGCCTGTCACCACTTTTGGTACAAAAAATACTGAGCAAAATGCTTAAGAAAAACTACTTAATCTTCACTACAAAGACAAATACAAGATAAACCTGGAAAACATTGAAATCGAGACTGGCAGCCAAAATACAGTGACTCCACAATGAACAGATTTTACAGCTGTCTTGCCGTTCCTGAGCCCAAACACACGCTGCCCCTTTCAGTTTTGTGCTCTTCCTGGAACATCTGTTTCTATTATGTCGTAAATTGCTTCATTCAAGCAACATCGGTTCAATAAAAGAAAACTCAGGACCAGTTTCGACATATGTGTCATCAGCAGTCAGGCTTGCTCGCACCAACACTCGTGAACTGCCCAGTTATTTAACCAAGCCCATGTGGCTGATAGAATGTTTAAAAAACTGTTTTAAAATTTTTAAGCAGAGGGCCGGATGTGGAAAGGAGGTGTGTTGTTGTTATCTGTTAATAGTCTCCACAAGGACACTGGTGATTATTTTGTTGTAGATTACATCGGGCCGAGGACACTGGCAAGGCGGAAACGCACGCCCTGGTGTGCCCGCTTAAGCTGGGTTGTGAGTGGCAGGGGGCGGAGGTTACCTCCTGCCTCTCCAGCCACTTCTCCACGATGGGGTGCGTGAGGCCCACCGAGGAACGCGACAGATCCCGCTGGAACCCCGGCAGGTGCCCCTCCCCCATGGGCCCCAATCCCCCTTCACTCCCTCCACCCGTGCTCTGCATGCAGCCACCCCCAAACGGGCACAGACCGATGAATCCATGACAAAGGGGTTAGAGAGGCAGGGCCCACTGCTGGGATAGCTCAGCAAACAGTTTTAACAAAAGCAGCGCAATTAGTTGGTAAGTGTGGTTAATAAAACAGAACATGTTTTTATGAAGCAAATCGTGCATTAATTTTCCCAAACAAGCAGACAACCATTATAGTTTAGACCAGCAGATCCCAACCCTTCTGGGCCCACGGACCATCACCGCCATGTCTCAACAAATATCCGTGTACGGCCGTGCACCAATAACAGATTATTACAAAATAAAATGACTCTGAATCATAGCGTTTTCAACGGCTCCGCGAGCACTTCCCGCAGCCTCGAGGAGCACCAGCCATCTGCGCGACCACATCTTAGGAACCACTGGCTTAGAACAAAACATATCCAACATAAAACGTTGCTCATAATAAAGGTTTTTGGGTTAGATCGCATAAGTATAAATGTATAAATGTGTGAAAACCCTCCACCACCCGACAAGGCCAATTAGTAAGGGATTTGTCACGTAAACAAAAAGACAAAGTCACTACTTCAGCCCACCGGTGTATTGAAGAGTGAATCCACAACATTTACAATTTGAGTACAACGTTTCGCTGGTAATTACATCCAGCATCATCGCGCCGATTTGCCAGAATAGTGAAGCCCTCCACCTGCTTCAAATAATTTTAATTGCTCTGACAGCGACAGGCTTAGTGCGGCCTGGAAGCGTATTATTAAATAATACATATTACAATCATTACAATTCCTTATAGGGGGAAACGCATACTAATTAACTGATTACTAATGTAGTATATAATTACAATAACAACCTTCCCCCCTACTCCGCCTCTGATTTCTGCACCTGATTGGGTATAGTGTTTGGGTTTAGTTATTAAATAATACAAATTACAACTCCATATAGAGAAATCATGACAATTAACCGATTACTAATCTATTAAATAATTACAATACCCCCCCTCCGCCTCTGATTGGGTTAAATGATGACATCACCCTGCTGCTCTATTTAAGACCGGAAGCAGGTGGAGGGCTTCACTAGTCTGAAAGTCGCCCGATGATGCTGGATGTAATTACCAGCGAAACGTCGTACTCAAATTGTAAATGTTGTGGATTCACTCTTCAACACACCGGTGGGCTGAAGTAGAATTGTCTTTTTGTGTACGTGACAAATCCCTTACTGATTGCCCTTGTTGGGTGGTGGAGGGTTTCGACACATACTTACGCGATTTAACCTAAAAACCTTTATTATGAATAATATTGGTCGCGAAAGCCTACGTGTTAAATAAAACGTTGCATTTGCATACGCATGCAATAAAGTTTAACCAAAGTGGGAATGTGTTAATGTAGAGTATCGTTAAAGTTGTTACAGAAGTACTTTATGGCACAAGCAAATTAACTTGCAAGTCATACAGACGCCTTCAAGAAACAGCTGTGCCATGTGTTAGATACAATTAACGTAAATTTCCGATTGTACCATCTTCAGAACGGAATTCACATAGAAACCAACTACCTTTTACGAGGGGTCAAATTGTGCACGTGGGCAGCTGCCTGGTAGCACCCCGTATCAATTCAAACCGCCGGGGTCACACTGAGCTGCTCTCCCCATCGTATCGCACGCATTGTCCGGAGTGAGAGCCACATCAGAGACACGACTGCTTGATCCTCTTCATTCAAAATAAAACCGCACACACCCAGCTGCAGACAGGGTGGCCAGAGGGCTGCACCACACCCTGCAGGATCACTGTTTCTACACTGCACCACACGCAGCCCGTAAGTACACTGAGCACACTCTGCTAGATGCAGCCCATATAATTCACCCTGCACTCACCCTGTAGAATACATTCTGCCCTTAACCTGCAAGTTTCACTCTGCAGGCTTCACTGATCCTGCACTACAACATGTGTGGCTGCACCTCACAATGTGGCATCCACTGCGCTTGTCGATGAACGCGGCGACTCGTTTTCAGGACCATCTTGCTTTTCCGTTGTTTTATTGAAAAAAAATACTTACCTGTTGCTTTTCTTACAGATCACAAAAACATAACTCAGTTCTAATGGAACCGTCCATAACCACTGCACCTCAGCGCTATAACTGAGATCGTTAACTCATTACCAGCATCACGTGAATGTAGCGAATGCATTTGTGATCTTTTGATTTAAAGCTTTCGTGACTGCAGTAATTCATATTCTTAGCTCTTTCGGTAAAGTCATGTTGAAGGGAAACAATAAAATGATAAAATATATATAAAACAATTAAAAAATTCTCACGACGTTTCGACCATAACACAAACGGTCGTCATCTAACCGTATTATCATCTAAACGGTGTATTACACCGTTTTGTATTATCATCTAAACGGTGTATTACACCGTTTTGTATTATCATCTAAACGGTATATTACACCGTTTTGTATTATCATCTAAACGGTGTATTACACCGTTTTGTATCATCATCTAAACGGTGTATTACACCGTTTTGTATTATTATCTAAACGGTGTATTACACCGTTTTGTATCATCATCTAAACGGTGTATTACACCGTTTTGTATCATCATCTAAACGGTGTATTACACCGTTTTGTATTATTATCTAAACGGTGTATTACACCGTTTTGTATTACACCGTTTAAATGACGACCGTTTGTGTTATGGTCAAAACGTTGGGAGAATTTTTTTATAGTTTTATATATATTTTATTATTTTATTGTTTCCCTTCAACGTGACTTTACCGAAAGAGCTAAGAATATGCATTTGTGATCGTAAAAGTAGTGGATGTGAACGTACTAAATGTGAATGGAGCGAATGTGATTGTGGGTGCAAATGCCGTGTATTTAAACAACACACGAGTTTGCGAGACTGCAAATTCTCGAACAAAGTGAGACGCGCAGCCCACACAGCAGTGAGAAACGATCGTGCAAGGACTGGGCTCGCTACTTGCTCGCGTACGTTCTGCGTGGGGGGTGGCTCGGCCGGCTGGTGCAGGTTCGTGGTAGACCAGTGCGTCTGTGGCCTGCGGCCACCGTCACCCGCGACCGTAAGGCCGGGCTGGACCAGTTCCGACGCGGATCCAGCCAGCGCGGGGTCGCTGCTGCGTCGCACGTGTAGCGGAGTGGCTGTAATCAGGAAAAAACAAGTACGCGATGAGCTCGAGCTCCTGTGTAACGGTCCATTGAATGCGTTAACAAATCCATTCAGGACCAAAGTTACGCATCGACCACGATGGCGGAAGATCAGCCATCAACTAAGACTTCAAAACCTCATGGATGTCATAACCGGCCAGGTGCCTCAGCAGTTAAGTGAGAGGCTCACAACTGGAAGGTCGCAAATTCAAATCCTGGTTGGGGGTCAATAAAATGCATACCACTTCGTGGAGGAGTCAACAATGGCTTTCCTCCAAGTGGATTTTCCCCCACCATAGGAATGTGGAATTTCCACTGCTGGCTCAGGGCCGCGAATGGGAAATGAGCACCTCCTCATTGCTCGTTTCAGCAACCGATCACTTTTTTTTTTTTAACATGACCGAGCTTTTTGACAAATCGTGCACGTGCTCTGATAATATACAGAATAAAAAACTTTATTCAACACAATATTTCACCTAAAACCTCCCTTAAAAAGGAACATCTCGAGTGCAAGGGTGTTCACAGTGTCAAGTGACACACACACACACAGCATGACATGTACACACACACACATTTTACATCTATAGCTTACACATTTACAGAGTGAACATCGCACCGAGTCAAACACGTAAATAATCCACAAATAATGAAACGGCTCACAATTCCGTTTCATAAAGAACGTGGTCTAACAGCTGTAAGAGTTGCGAATGTTGTGCGAGAGAGATTAAAACGAATATTGAGATGAGTTGAGACTGGCGGCGTGCTTGAGTGTCCATGAGATCGTTCCACGTTGAGGCAGCTGTGTCTGAGTGAGAGTTGAGCCTGTTTGGGTTTTTACTCCAGGGACAGCAACACTGTTAGGATGATCTTGCGACCGGAGAGCAGAGTTACTGTTGCCATAAATCGACAGCTGTTGAGTGAAGTAAGAGGAGGCATCGAATAGTGTACGCGCATAGATAGGGGCCCAGTGAGGCAGTCATCTTCGACTGTGGGGAGAGAGCCGCGTCGAGTTTTCCCTGACAGTGTGGCTCTGGAGTCGCATTTTCAGATGAATAAGGGCTCTAAAGAGAAGAGCAGAGAGCAGAGCCGCTCGAGAGGGGGGACTCACTGGCTCGGAGGGCCGAGGGTGTGACCTCGATCTCGTTGAAGGCCGTGGTGGCAGCGGCATGGCCTGGCGGCTCCACCTCGCTGCCGAACATGTCGGGGCTCTGCGTGCCCGTGGAGCTGGTGCTTGTGCAGTCCCCGCCGCCGCCCGGCTGGGGCTCCTGCTCCTCGTAGATGGCGATCAGCTGCACGCACCAATGCACAGTAAAACTCAACATCCACATCCACACACGAGACCACACATAAAGATCTTCCGTGCAGCCTTTAACAGACTGCTGGGGCAAGTGTTCTTAGCGAGCACGTATGAAGGCCAGCACGGCACACAATTTCTTGCTTCCATGTTCATATTGTGGGAACGAATCTATCCAAAGGACAACTGCTACTGACTTCACCACAAAGTGGTACTCATATTCCTTGACCCCTGGGGGATGAAGGGCTGAGTTAAGACCCATTCAGTATTGAACGCACAACCTTCCCATTGTTAGCTGGTCGCTCTACCACTGAGCCACATAACAAGTTGTACTGTATATAGACTGTATTGCTGTATATCTAAATTCACAAAATACACACACATTCATTACACACACTCACATTCGCTACACAGACAATTTCCCTCTAAACACAGCGGATTGTCTTTTTACAGCCACTGTGCCAATGTTATCTCACAAACAAAGCCGAGCTGAAGCTCTACTCCCAACACATCAAAGCCAGTATCTTGGCCTGCCCCTGTTATGGCTTCGAAGAGACCAACGGTTGTTTGGTCATATTTCAGAAAGCATTTATGACCGCAACCATGATCTCGCGCCAGCAACAGGAAACCGCGCCCGCAATCCCCTTATCACTCAGCGGGACCGCGGTCAGGGGAAGCGCTTGCGAGTCAGGCGCACCTCGCACGCGACACTCCACCTGCCAGCGCAGATCTGCTAGGCCAGAGCGAAGCGGATCTGTCATGAGCCTGAGAACACCAGAGGCCATTACACCGTGAATGATGCCCGATGTGGGAATCATCATGTGCAGGACGCTGATAACAAATGCTGGCCCCGCTTCCACATTGGTACAAGTGCATAGACAAGGATGGAGACAATGTTGACAAACAGTGACATGTTCATGATATTCCCGTTCATATCTAAAGATAGGTGCCCACGGCAAAGCGCTGCGCCACTAGGCAGAGAGAGAGGTGCCGCTCACACAGCCGTGCATTTTTATTTTTTAAACCCAACATTTGCTGAGATACAGGCCCAAAGAAGAAAAATGTCAAACGGCCAGGAACAAACTAAACTATCAAATTTGTAATAGACAAGAGTGTAACACGTTTCTTGAATCGACCAAGGTTATTATTATTATTGTTGTTATAAGAGCTTTGCATCTGCCCGGGACATGAGCGAGCACTGCCGTGACTAAGCAGAGGGAGCAGCATTCTTCATTCCGAGAGCCCAACACAGACATCGGGGTGGGAAACGCATAGGGAAGCCCTCCGCACTTCAACACCGTTTCAATTGAATGAGTATCGGCACAATTACGTTTACTAAAAATTTCGATCTCCAGTGCTCAATTCTGAAGGCCTCTGCACACAGTGTTGTTGAAGGGAGTTGTTTGGCCATACTTCACCATGGCGGTTAGTGCGGGATGGTGAAGGAAGAGGGCCCACAACTGGTTCAGATATCATTGGATACCGATGTCAACCATGGCCTGGCAATCAAACTCGGGTTGTGGAGTTCATAGAATGCACAAAAAACTAGCCCACTGCAATACCTCAATTAAAATCATGTAATAGACAATTGTGCAACTCTAATTACGTACTAGTTTATAAGCTTATTTATAAACACACCTGACTGACAAAATTAAATGTTTTATGTTCAAAGCAAATAAATCACATGAGGTGGACGAGGAGACCACCTCAGGCACCACACAAGGAGAGAAATCAGAGAAGCAATTTTCAGACGGAGCCAATGGGAGTCTGGTTACTGTACCGCACCAAGCGTCTGCGGTGAACATGTGGCCTGGATTAGACGAAGAACGCCAATTTTATTAATAGGGCAGATCCTCCAATGAGGAACCATGCGCAGAATTATCCAAACGGCATTCCCTGTGTCAACACACAAATACTGCGCCCAGCTGTGCACACAAAGTTAAGCGGTACCGCCACACCTCGCCTCAGCTGTCTGTTGTGAAGTTTTCACAACGGCCACAACAAGACGCGAGCACGCCGCATCTGCACGGATGGCAGCTGTGACGCGGTCGTCCTCCTATTGTTGTCCAGGATTTGGAGCAGGGCTCTCCAGGGAGGAGGCATATGGCAACAATCAAGAGCCCTTTGCAGACTCCTTCCTGCACACACGCCTCGACGAGTTGCGGCCACAGTCTGCTCGCGACATTTACGGTGCGCCGCTCGCTCGTAACTTTTATTTTGCTATATAGGAGTTTCATATTACGGAATACAGAGTAAAAAGCCAAAGTCAAAGCAATTTCCTGCTCAAATTAGCTCAGTGGTGGAAATTCTGCACTCCTATGGCAAGGGCATAGGACAAACTATCGACTTCCCCATAAACTTGTACCTATTTTATCGACCTCAAAGGGTTGATGGGCTAATTCAACCCCCAACCGGGATTTGAACTTACGACCTTCCGATTACATGCCGCTCGATCTAACACTGAGCTGCCTGGCCGAATGTATCACACAAGGTCTATTTAAATTGGAGGTTCATGCAGTGAGCAATTGTGGTTAGGCTTGTCGACCCATGTTTCACGGTGACAGTGTCCGTGTCCAGCTCAGGGCTGAGTGTTACCATAGAACGATGCATGCAGGGATAGCACGCGGTCATGTGGATGTAATCGCCGTGCTCACACATGCGTGCTCATTTGGAGTGGACCACAGACTCTCTCGGCCATTCTCGTTCTGATCGTAATCAAAGAAGGCAACATCCAACTCAGTCGGGTTTGATGCCAAAACCGTACAACTCTACAATGCACACTCGGCATAATTAGATGATTAATGAACTACCAACTAAATCAGGCAAAGTAGATTAGAGGACAATACAGCATGACTCCTTCACATGTCTCTTCACTAAACTATTAATGTACATATTTACTCATCCCATTGGCCGCACAGCCTTGTTCTGAGGGTGCATGCATTCAACACTATTGGTTTAATAGAAACTCTGGACCATTTGTGATATTTATTGTCTCTTCAGCAGTCAGGCTCGCTTCAACACATTCTGGTATACTGCCGGATTTTTGTATGCAAGGACCCTCTCTATTAGATGAGTCCTATTTTGATGCAAACTATATAATACAAACTACTTCAGCAATTTTTTCTTGCTGTGGTTGTCCCACCTGATGACGATTGCTTGTGTTGCGATCGAAACGTCGTGATTTATTTTTCTACCTACGTGATATTACCAAAAGAACCAAAAATAATAGAATACAGAACCTACTCCGACAAGGCCGTGTGGCTAATTGCATGTGTAAAAATTTTATTAAATTTTAACGTGGAGAGACAGACACATGAACAGGGCATATTGTCATACCTGTCAACCCATACTGTTTACCTGTATTCTTGTACAGGGAAATTGAGTTTCCAAGTCCATACGGCGCACAGCCGTTTCAATACAGAAAAGTTTTTTGTATATTTGTTTGTATTTCCCATCCCTTGTGATGGGACTTTGTAGGATGAACATTGAGATTTATAAGGGTATAGAGTGACCAATAAGGTCTGAATTGGTCTATAATAAGGTAGGCACTGACAAGGGGTTGACAGCCATGTATTGTCTGCTAATGCATTGCTACCTGTTAGACCCCCGGGCCACCAGCGGTCCGCAACGACCCTCCAGGTGGTCCGTGGGCTGATGCCAATGCAGGTTGATCCAAAATTAATAACAATGTTTATACCTTTTATTTCGAAAATTATTAATATTTTACTCATATTTCTTTTTTTAAATGAAGTTAGGTAAACTACCCTGATTAAACTACCCAATCCCTAAGATCTAAATGCCCCTCTAAAAAAAAACCTCATAGGTGCGTTAAATTTTTTTTTATTATCCGGTAATATGAACATTTTTGGTTAAAGACGTCGACTTTCGCGACCAATATAAGGGCACTGAATGTGAAAACCAAATCAAATAATACAAGCATTGAAACTGCCCAAGTAATTAAAACGATCAAAATACCATACATTGTGAGAGTAACTGATAAACTAGCCAGGTGTTTGGAAAAACAAAACATCCGAGTCAGATTTGACACGGTACATAAAATACATAAATTAATATCTGGTACAAAAGATGTATTACTGAAGCTATCAACAGGTGTGCACAGGATTAACTGCACTTGTGGCAAATGCCATATTGGGCAAACAGGTCGAATGATCAGCACGAGACTAAAAGAACACCAAATACATTTTAAATTCTCCCAAATACAACTGTCAGCAGTAGCAGAACACGCGTCCCAACAAGGACACTGAATTGATTTTATTTAATTTTATTATATTTTTTCATTTTATTTTATTATGTTTTATTTTTATTATTTTATTTCCATTCTACGTGACTTTACCGAAAAAACCAAGAAGAAAAAATGATTTTGATAATGTTGAAGTTCTGTGCAAAACTAGCTACTACTGGCCAAGACTAATTAATTAAACAATCGAAATTGAAAGAAATGAAAATTATTTTAACCGTTCGGATAGCTACCGATTTAGTGCTGCGTGGAAACAAATAATTAAATAATACCTTGTTTAAATGCATGCCTATACAGGCCACCATACCTTCAATAGGGATTACCTTTGGTACTGCTATTTTAATACCCACAATGGACAAGGGGGACAAGATCAATGGGCTCGCATAATGCACATGGAGTGTGGTCACCACATCTACACCTCTTTATAAGGAACGAAACAGGTGGGCTTCTCCACAAATCTGGCTGTCGCCTAATTAAGCTAGTTGTAATTACTGACGAAACGTCGTACTCAGATTGTAAATGTTGTGGCTTGGCTCTCCAACACACCGGTGTGCTGTACGAGTGACGAATTGGCACGTTCTGTTTACGTGACAACCCTTACTAGTTGGCCGTGTCGAGTGGTGGCGAGTTTAACGACACATTTATATATTTACGCGATCTAACCCAAAATAACCTCTAATATGGATGAATAATTTTGCATTCCTGTTATTTAGAGAGAAGTGATTGCGTTTTATCAC